AAGAGTTACGGTAAGTATAACATAGTAATAGTTAGATAATGGTGTGGAAGAGTTACGGTAAGTATAATATAGTATTAATATCAGTCATAGTTAGATAATGACGTAGATGAGTTACGGTAAGTATAATATAGTATTAATATCAGTCATAGTTAGATAATGACGTAGATGAGTTATGGTAAGTATTTCGTAGTATTAATAACAGTAATAGTTAGATAATGGTGTAGAAGAGTTACGGTACGTATCACGTAGAAGTAATAACAGTCATAGGTAGATAATGGTGTGGAAGAGTTACGGTACGTATCACGTAGAAGTAATAACAGTCATAGATAGATAATGGGGTGGAAGAGTTACGGTACGTATCACGTAGAAGTAATAACAGTCATAGGTAGATAATGGTGTGGAAGAGTTACGGTAAGTATAGTATAGTATTAATAACAGTCATAGTTAGATAATGGTGTGGAAGAGTTTCGGTAAGCTTTCAAGTAAACTGAAAGGCGATTAGGGTTGCACTTTGTGTTTAGTCATCAGAAATGCTTTATTCTAGAAATTAAGTTCAGTTTTTTTATATTTACCCCAATTCATTGCAATAAAAACTAGACCAACAAAATACATTTACACAAAATATTTATTTAGATTAACGGAGTAAAATATGGCGACAGTTATTCCTAATGTGTTTGGATTATTTAATCCATTGATCCTTTATAATCAGGTTTCCTGCAATAATCCTCATTGTGAGAAACGTACTTTTTAGTAGTAGTATATAGTAAGTTAAATATATGAGTGTGTGTTAGGCAAAGGATTTTTCCACAGTAGGTGTCTGCAACTTCTTGTCGATAAAAGAACAGCACGCACTCAGCTTGTTTTAAAATAATATATTCAAAACAAGTTAAACGTATGTACAAAAAAATTCTTTACACTTGTATATCATAGTGGTATCTTAAATACTATACAGTTTTCTTCTTGTTGTAAAAATTCCTTTTAGGCCAATTCAATTGCTGTATAATTCATTTGACAAGCCGAACTATTTTCTCTATTTTCATCAAATTATTATCAGTGTATAATTAACTTACGCTGGCTCGTGAGTTACCGCAGTTGTATCCTGAACTTCCGATACTCGTCTGCTTTTTTATATTTAAGCCTACTTCCAATAAACGTCTGCTTTTCGCATATAGGCCTACTTCCAAATAATCGTCTGTTTTTTGTCAAAGTCTACACAGGCAGGTTCAGTTGCATTAGAACACCCTTTGACTTAAAATGTCAGAAAACTGTTAATCTCACTTTAACATATCAACCGTTAGGCTATTCACTCCTACGACGGTTAACTTTACTTATTCTAACCTTTCTCTGACCGAAACTCTATTTCACTACGTTTTACTTTTGGCTCTCTTCCTGCTCTCTCGTCTGGTCGCCACTATTTACATCTCTCACTGAGGCGTTCTAGAAATCTCTGTAGCTTTGGCATCAATTACTTACAAACACAACTTCCAGTAATCGTCTGCTTTTAACTCTCTTATTATGAAAAATCTAAACAATCATGAAATATTAGCTCACAAAATAAATTAATTAATACTACCTACACTAAACAGTATTTTTATATCTGACACTCATACTAGTCTTTTTGTTGTTGTTGTTGTTGTTCTAACATCTTCTAAGAACAATCTCGAGGACCTATCGAAGCATTCCCTAATTACTATTCATGATTAATGTAGTTTTACGAAAATTTCTGAACATTGTTTAATTAATCATTAGCTTTATTGTGCTTAGAGTAATTTAAATAACTATAGTTATTTAATTTAATTTATTTGTGTAACCTGAACAAAGTTAATGCAATTTATTGTGTTATCTGAACAATTTAATGTACTTTATTTGTGTAATCTGAACAAAATTAATTTAATATCCCTCTGTAACTTAATTATGAGTTATGCATCTTTGTGACAAGGTAAACAGAAAGTTCCCAGTTTACTGCAAAAAGTTGATGTGGAAATAATAGAGGGCGACACCTGCCAGGAGTGGTACAAATCTGTAGGCCGTCAAGAGAAGATATACAACACCATGATCTGTGCTGGTTATAAAGAAGGTGGGAGAGATTCGTGTCAGGTACGAACCGATAGTTTCTTTAACAAAACATTATTCAACAGTTGGGACTGTGTATATTAAATATGTGTATAAGTCTATTTTATTTCTTTTCTATAAAGGGACTCTGTCACAGAAAAACAAACAAAAAAACAGTTTTAATTTAAATTTATGTGCCTATATCTACGTTTTGATTTTGTTTGTCAAAACTGTCGTAAAATTACTTTGGCATAGAAACAAATGAAATTTACATACCCATATAAATTTAAATCGATATGTTTTATGCTAGTATTGAAAAATACGTGTGGATTTAGTTACAGCAAGCTTCTGAAACTGGATAATTTGCTTTTCCACAGGGTGATTCTGGGGGGCCCATGACTTTGAAGAAAGAAGGTAAGACGAAGCTGATTGGCTTAGTTTCGTGGGGTGTAGGCTGTGCAAGACCTAAGCTACCAGGAGTATACACGAAAATATCTTCGTATATCGACTGGATTAACATCTACGTGCATTAAATACGACTAAGATCTGTAATCCAGAATCAGTTCGAAGGTTCCTGTGTGCAAAACTGAAATCAAACATCGGCATTTCGTGAAAACACAATGCTGTAACATAGCCATCTTTATAAAGCTATAGACATCAGCGATAGAAATGCGCAGGAAAGCTGTAAATGTACGTCTCAAAAAGCGTATTGGAAACTTGTGGATGTCATTAATAACAGATATGTGTCGGAAAACTCAGTACATGTTAGTGAAAGAAACACTTAAAAACTCTGAATGTTGGAAATATAAGAATATTAGCAATGATATTTATAATCTTAAATTATAAGTGGCAGTGGAAGAAAGAAACAAAAGTATTTCAAATAATAAATAGTCTGTTAAAAATAACATGTTACCTATAAAGGAAACTCATACATTTCATGATGTGTTATAATATAGTTTCATTCTTCCTGGAGAATTTCTAGTTTTACATTCACATGCTACATGTTTTATCCCCGAGAGTTCCTTCAAACAAGATGATACCAAGAACCGTGAAGAAATACCAACATTTGTTCCTAGAATACTGCTTATTAGAATGTTTTAAGAAGCTCACCAAAGATGTCGCTTTTTGCGCTTCATTTTAAGCTCTTTTCCAGGAAAGCTTTCAATAAATCAAGGGAAGAAGTTAATGACAATGGTCTCCGCCATTATAAGGGATGGCTGAGAAAATATTAAATGTTCTTACAGTGAAAGAATTTTTGTTATTATATACCAGACAGTATTTTCTGTGTGATCTAGCGATTTTTAAAATGATTTTTATTTTATCTTGAAAGGGAGTGTGATTTTACTGATGATAATGAGGGAGCTTTAAAAACACTGAATTTATTAACGCATATGTGAGGCTTTCTCAAACAATGATTCTACCAGAAAAAGTTATCTTCATACCATATTGTCCCTAATTAACACCCCCGGGGGCATTCCAAACTGCAAGGGGAGGGACGCTAATTATACTGCTTGTGCAGTTCCGGATTCTATTTTTCACATGTGGTTTGTTGATTTCAGTGCTAATAAGTGTGTGTGTGTGTGTGTTTCTTTTTTTTTAAATCCAAATTACGGTAATAAAAGTGGATTATATGTTGGATTACTATTGCTGTCACACAAGGTAAGCTTTATAAAAATACTGGGGGAGGGGCGATAATTATAGAGGGGGCGTTAATACGGTATATTATAATAAGCTGAATGAATTGCCTGTGTTTTTAACGAAGTAGCAAGAATTCTTCTGTACACAATCAATGATGCAACTGTACGTATTTTTTACAGGCTTTTGGGAGAATTTTTCTATTTACTAACTGATCGCTTTTTTTTAGAACCCACCACCTAATATTGGGTTAGGCCATCTTTCCGCTTAATAATGGAATCGGCATGGAAGAAATTCCACAAGACACCTACTATTATGCCTCTTTAAAAATCGGAAAGTTTCTTGCTTTTACCCATTGTCTTCCAAGCTAACCACAATATGCTTCCATCTGGTATTTATGGACTCAAGTAATGAGTGTATTACATGATCATTCTAGTTTATATTTCCAAATAAATGAAATAATCATAGATATGCATGAACGGGGTCTTAATAAAGTGGGTAGTCGTTTAAAAGAATACGAATAATCATGGAAACCTACAGGTAATACACATTCAGAAATCACAGGAATAATTATGGAACCCACGAGCGACACACATTCAAAAACTACAAACAAAAAGTAACGGCAACTATATGTTGAATTTGTTAATGGTATAAACAATGCTACAGAATGCACCAAATAAAAGTATCAATGCACAATTGTGGATTCTTATCCCCCCCCCCCACCACACACACAATCTAGCCAAGTTGTTTGGTCGCCTTTTGACCTTCTAAGTTTCTACTTAAGCCTGTACAGCCTCATTAATCTTGGTCTCGGGATTTTCTGCAGGCTAAGCCATTGTTTTGAGCGTTCCATCGACCTCTTATCATTAAGAAATTGTTGCACCACATTTGCTGTATTCCTAGAATCATTGCCTTGCTGGGTTCCATCGGCCTCTTATCATGAAGAAATTGTTGCACCACATTTCCTGTATTCCTAGGATCATTGCCTTGCTGGGAGATAAATCCTCGTTCTATAAATCATGTTCTCATGAGAATGTCATGATAATCAGGATCTATATATACTGTTCAGTGGTCAGGGTGCCATCTACGTCGTGTAGATCACCGAAGTCATTGAGTGAGATGCAGTCCAAGCTTCTACTTCTCCCCCTCCCTCCCCCGCCATGCTTCATTATACATGTAAGTCGAGTATGATAATGTTCTCCTCTCCACTATCAAACAAACTATTGTTGATTGTTGCCACAGGATGTGAACAAGTATTCATTTGAAAATAGCATACATATCAAGGTTGGTTCACTCTTTGTGGTCCGGTGTCCATTTCCACCTTTACATTTGGTTACCTCATCTAGGTAAAAGTTTTCGAACACTAACATGTCTGTCGTATCCCAACTGGATATGGCAGGAATAGTGTGGTTCATATATTATAACATATTCTTCTTTGTTTTCATTCAGTTCTTTGAATTGGCAAGAACTGTACTCGACCGTCACTTATGACGTAAACAATATACCCTAAGATACTTAACAACACTTTTGAAGCGTTTCGGTTTTCTATCTTGACCACTAATATTATTAACTGTGAACAGTTTCACGTACCGTCTTCAATGTCTATCACACAGCTCCTACTAAAACACTTAGTCTTAAACCAATTTTTCGCATTGAGTATCCATAACTAGGAAAAATATTGGTTTCTGTACGCTTGTCTTTTTGTATTTCTGTCCTAAGAACCATGACTAGCTAACGTTGCTACTGCTACTACTAGCACAGTACGGCTGCCAATCAGTGACTGTACCTTTATAGGTGTGGCACTTTCTGATTAGTTTGATGGCAACCAATCAGTTTGTTTTAGGGCAAAGCGACAATGGGCTAGCTGCTGTGTACAATGCGAGGAATCGAACCCTGGATTTTAGCATTGTAAGACATTCAGATTGTAAACTGTTAACACGTGACTGTATGCTTTGGTGCAGCTCATTTTCACACGATAAAGGGGGTGGCGTTCTCGTAGTATTTTCATTCCATATCATTTTTACCTATGACCCAACTTAGAAGTGATTAATTTTTGGAGGGTCAAGGTCACAAAAAAAATCCCTATCTGTTAACATGGGGACCGATTTTTTACATCATTTTTATTCTATAGCTCAGTAAAAAATTATCTGATTTTGATGAAACTTGGTGGACTTATGTAGAATATTATTCCTCATTGTTCTGCCGAAAATGGTCCGTGTCCGTTGATAACGACAAAACATATGGACTCATTTTCGTATTTTTTGAGGGCCGAATATGATCAACTTTGCGTGGCGGAGGTATGCTCTCCACTGAGTGCCCCTCTAGTTCCTCACTGTTTTCCATAATTATTTCCAATACTGTATCTCTGATGGAAATTATTCATCTCATTTATTCTATCAATTTTTTAACGCCCTTGTCAATTTTTGGATTCATTAACCTACAACAAAAAACAAACTTTTTTTTTTACGTCTTGTGGGGTTTAAATACATACTTTTATGTGTATGCAATTCATTATACACTTGTAGTCTAAAGCTAATGAGTTAGTAATTTAGTACAAAATTTTTAACTGGTGTATTTAGATTATCAATAAGATGCCCATTAACTACTCTTAGCTATAAACATAATTTTTACTCCCAGACATGACGGCTTAGATGGCTACGGTTGTTCCTAACCCATCGGTCTGTGATATAAACGAACACACACGCACACGTACTATGTAGATCACCTTGAAGTCAACCAAAAGAAACAGATGCCAGTGGCTCCACGACGGGATTGTTTGTTAGTTATCAAGTCTACAAACGGCTGCAATAAATAAATCAAAATAGTAAACGCTAAAACTGCGTTTATAGACAGTTCAGGTTCTCTGTCCGGTTTATCATCGTCCCATTATAAACATTCTTAAAACTTAATGAATATATATATGAAATTTATGGCGTCTAGAGAGAGACAAGTTGCCACCTCGACAAGACAATAAAACTGAAACTTTAGTAATCTGTTGTTTTTTCAGTTTGTTTTGAATAGTTACGTTGGAGCTCTAGTAAATATATTCAGAGTCATAACTAATTAAAATTACCAGTAAATTATACAAAATTCACACTTAAACATCTGTATTTTCTCTACAGGTAAAATACCTTTTCGCAATACTTTCAATGTGCTATTAGCGGTCTAATACCAGACTATCAGTTACGTAATTAAATAATGAAAAATAAATTCTATGTTTATAGTATTTGTTTCTTCTACGTTCATAAAATAAAAGAGAATAATCTCTTTCAGTCGATATTTCTAAAATTAGGGAGATTGGTAAATTTATTCATCCAATCTCGTAAGTAGTTGTTATTTTTGTTGGCGCAAAGCTATGCAATTGGCTATCTGCGCTCCGTCAACCGAGAGAATCGAATCCCGAATTTTAGCGTTGGAAGTGCGTAAAAACTTACCGCTGACGTACAAGGGGATTATTGTAAGTAAACGTACTCATTAAATATGGACATATTAAAATTTCAGATGAAGTTGAAAGTATAGCAGTTACTTATTTAGGTTTTATAGCTACTATCCAACGATAATTTCTTATCTGAAATACTACATAACTGTGTTTTTAAAATCAGATCTTAAAAAGTGCATCACCATTTCCAAGATTCTTATCGATAGTGTTTAACAAAAAAAAAGCGCTTGAAGTAATGAATTCCTTTTTTTTCAACTCTGTTTATTTAATTTAGTCCAATATTCTCATCAGATTGATTTCTACAATATCTTATGAACATCCTTTGTGTGGTTACATTTCTTCTTACAATTGGTTGTTTAAAATTTACGTGATAAAACTCCTACTTTGTATTTAGGTGTGGTTATATTTTTTTCTTACAATTGATCTATACTACTTATTGTTTAATATTTA